GGCCTTAGCGGATTTGCAGTCGCCAAAATGCTCGAGCTCAGCTAGCGGCAGGTGACTACGAATGGCTAGGCGAGCAGCTGCGTCACGAGTCTGCCAGTGGGAACGAACACTAAGCTCGGCTGTGGCAGCAGGAGCAGCGGCAGCACCAGACGCGTAGTCATAGAGGGAGATGTGGTCCGTGCTATTGCTCATAAGATACAACTGCAGGTCGTCGAGCCAGGAAGTGAACTGCACGGGACGGCCCTCAGCATCGAAGGAAAGAACGCGAATAGAGGCCATAGCTCAGGCGTGAGGGCACAGCAGAGCAGCGGCAGCAGCAGAGGGGACGCAGCAAGCGGGCAGTGAGGCAGCGGGCGGCGCTGCGAAGCAGGTAGCGGGCGGGCGGGCGGCGCTGCGAGCGGGCAGCGAAGCGGGCGGGCCGCGAAGCGGGCAGCGAGCGGGCGGGCGGGCTGCGAAGCGGGCAGCGGGGCGAGCGGGCTGCGAGGCGGGCGGGCCGCGAAGCGGGCAGCGAGCGGGCGAGCGGGCTGCGAAGCGGGCGGGCCGCGGAGCGGGCAGCGAGCGAGCGGGCTGCGAAGCGGGCGGGCCGCGAAGCGGGCAGCGAGCGGGCGGGCGGGCTGCGTGGCGGGCGGGCCGCGAAGCGGGCAGCGAGCGGGCGGGCGGGCTGCGAAGCGGGCAGCAGGACGAGCGGGCTGCGAGCGGGCGGCTCGGCGGGCGGGCGACACTGCGAGGGGCGCGCGAGGGCGCTAGTGAGGGGCGCGCGAGGGCGCTAGCAAGGGGCGCGCGAGGGCGCTAACGAGGGGCGCGCGAGGGCGCTAACGAGGGTGCGCGCGAGGGCGCTAACGAGGGGCGCGCGAGGGCGCTAAAAAGGGCGCACGAGGGCGCTACGAGGCTAGGGCACGGGGTAGCGTGGTAACCGCATGCGAGCGGTGGTGGGCCCTTAAAAAAAAACGGTCGGTAGGTCCTAGGGACCTCCTGCTCTGAATACCATTTCAGAATAACTAGGCAAGAATGATTGAACTAGCAGAAGTTTGGGTACAAATATGAAACCCTAGTTGGGGTTGTACCCCATATTGGCTACCCCACTACAGCCTACAAGCATAATACAGTTTAACACTAGCCTCCAGTGGGGTACTCTATAGCGAGTACAACCCAATTAGGGTTTCCTATATGTATGCCAACTGCTGCTAGTGCAAACCCTCCTTTCTTCATTCTTACTTTCTACAGCTAGTTCTGACAGCTGTGGCCCGATGTTTTGCAGATTTCTGCGTGGTCGCCATGCCGAGGTGGGCGTTGCATCTAAAGTAGCTTTCTGTGCTTTTTGAAGTCCTAACCCGAACGTCTGGTTTTCTCTTGCAAGTTGTTCTTTCTTTGAATGTTCGCATTTCTCTTTTTGGCGTGGTGCTTCGTTTCCAGTAGGCACGCTGTCGCCCGAGTTGTTGCAGAATCAATTGTCGTCGCGTGTGGAGGTATGCGCTTCGGTTTTTTCAAGCCTTTCTATGCTGTTTAACATGCTCGCCAAGTCTTTCTTGCAGGTCCTTTGAAAGCTTTGACGAGTTCAGTTGAGCTGGTAAGCTAACAATTTAATGATTTAACTAACGCCATTGCTAACAATGCAATTTCACTGTGCATGCCCACCACCTACTTAACTGAGCAGAGGTTGGAACGAGGGGGTTTCTTGCCAGCGTTATCACTAGGCGGCCTGTGTTGTTTGTACCATTAAATGCATTTGTTCCTGTATGTGTTTGTAATGAAGTTCTGTTGTATTTCGAGTTAGTTTTTAAAGTGTCACTACACATCAGGATGTACGAAAATGCTGCGTTATTTTATACTGAATTGTTAATTCATCATTGCCGATTATTATACTGGGTGGACAAATTTTTATTATTAGTGATATCAATTGATTTTGAATAACGGATGCCGTAAATTTAAATTTAAAATAATATGTAATGCAAAATCTTACTACGCAACCTAACGTTGAGCAACGAACATGTAACTGAAACTCGCTATAGCACCCTCGAGACAATCACAAAAAATAATCGCACATATCGTAACAGATGCACCCTGAACTTATGAGCGAGAAATGGTCCCGCTACATGAACAGCAATGACGGGTCTGCAAACCTAATTCGATTGGCGAACTAAAAGAAATCGACCAATCGTAGGGAACTGAACAAACCGATGACTTCGTCCACATTTGTGGGAGCTCCAGTCGTCATCACCCCCGAGCCACAAACAGGTCCAAGTTGGTTGGTTCCTGAAACATTGGAATGTACTCGCGCGACTCTGCGTTCCAAACCTCCAAAAGCAGGATGCCCGGCATTCCGAGAGATACCCTCTCAAGAGCAACACCAAAGCAACCCTGTGAGTATGTTCGAAGCAGCTTTTTGGCCCTGGGTTTTTTCGGATGTCGGGACGCCGCGCGGCGCGTGCTATAAACCGATAATCGAGAAAAGACCGCATAGCTCATCGGGTCGATTTATATAAAAAATGGTGTTAGATATTGTTTCGCCACGACCGAGGTTTCAACCGACCATCATTTTGATTATCGCTACTAGGGATCGGGTGTGATCTAGTGGTCGCGAAGTCGAAGAGGGCGGCGAGGCGTGATGACGATGCCACCCACTTCAAGCCGCTGTTATCTGAAAGACGATTCGCCCTGATCCGACAGTATGATCATCGCTCACGTCTTCCTTCCATTGCTGCTGCTAAGCATGTCTTTCTCCCTTTTCGCCATCCCTTCTATCCGCAGCTGGTATGCCGCTTTTGGCGCCACTGTGCTGAAAAGGAAGCAAAAAATTGAGCACTTTCCCGTGCGTTCAATTCCCATCGTGGCTCTCACCGCTGCATTTTCTTTGGGGGAAAGCAGGCAGCGATGCGCCAGTAGGTGAACGTGTGACCTCTCAGTTGACAGCTTCTCAGCTGACGGCCACTTTGTAGGTGAGCAGAGAGGCGTGGGGGCGGGCGACGAGTGAGGCAGCGGTTGTTATGTCACCTTGTATGAGAGGGCTTTAACTGCACGCGTGCTCAATGCATGCTGACCTCGAGTCCGAGCAGGAGGTAGGCTAGCGGAGAAGGGAAGAGGCAGGGTCTGGGAGGCTGCAAAGGAGGAGGAAGATGTAGCAAAAGCAGAAAGAGCAATTACACCAGGAGCTAGAACAGCAGGAGCGGAGCAGCAGTTGCAGAGTAGCAGCAGCAGCATCCCAACAAACAAGACGTGCTTGCTTACATGGAAGGCACAGTTGCAGTTGCAGTCGAAGCGAGTCTCGGGTTAACCGCCAACGCAAGGACGGACGGACTGCTGGCACAACAGCAGCATGTGTCAACCGCCTTATAACGAAGCACTTAGTGGTGGTGATGCTGGTAGTGGTGCTGATGGTGAGGTGGGCGAGCAACTCGCAATCCATTTTTGTATAGTAGGACTTGAAAGAGCTACTCCTGCTCCTCTGCTACAACTTAATTGTGTTGCTCCCTCCCTCCTGTCGTTCCTCCTGTCGTTCCTCTCTGTTTCCCGCTCTCACACCCACCTACTGCAGCGTGATTGTGGCCTCATGCCTCAATGCCTCAATGTCCTTGCTTGCTGTCTTACGTCTTCCCCTACCCCGTTCCCACTCTCGTCCTCCCTCCCCTCCCATTTCAGTCCCCTTTCGTCCATTTCCTCCCCTTATCCTCCCCTTGACCTCCTCCTTCTCTCCCGGGGCTAGGCATGGTAAGAGAGTGGCAGGGAGGGCTTCTGCTCAACACGCCCCTTAACGACAACATCTTACTTCCATTTCATCCCCACACGCGGTGACAGCTCTCGTTCTTCCCCTTCCCTTCCCCACCTTCTCTATGACGCACATCAGGCGTGGCGTGGTGTTGCTCGGCACGCAAGTTGCAGCAGCCAGCTCTCTCTTGTCCCCCCATCCCCCCACGGGCGCGCAGCACTTGTACTAGGACATGCTCATCCGCATGCGGCACGCCCCTCATGGGACACTCTCCTCAGATCTTTGAGAGTTCTCAAAAATCATCTCAGAAAGCTCTAACGTGCTGTGCTGGGCCTGTCTTGTTCAACATCGAGAATCGGGATCCACTCGCTGCCTCTCTTCTGGAGAGTGTGCGCTTCTCCTTCCCCACGGGCTTCAAGGAGGCCACGGCTCTCTCTGCTCTCCGTTGCTTCGACCATGAAGGTAGCCTCCTTTCGCCCTGCCCGTATCCTTCCTAGTCTCCGCCTCACTCACTCTCATCACCCGTGCATACTACTCTGTCCCACTGCCATCGTGCCTTCTTCTCCCCCCCCAACCCTCTCCCCTTTCCCTTGCTCTTTTCCTGTAACTTCTCCAGTGCAACCTCCCCACTTTTTCAACCCACGCATCCCACTCTGTTTTAACTTCTTCTCGATTCCACCGCCATCGTGCCTTTGCCCCCCCAACCTGCTCCCGTTTCCTTGCGCTTTTCCTGTGACTTTTCCACATGCAACCTCGCCTTCTGCACCCTTTCCCCCGCGTGCGCACCTCTCACTCACCCCCGCGCGCTCCTTCAATTGCCTTTCTCTTCCTCTGGATGTCTCCCCGTCTTTGCCTCTGCCCTCCTCTCCTGCCAAACTCTGCGCCCCTCTCCCCTTCGTGCGCTGCTCTGCTCTCAACTACAACAACCCCCCCTCCCGAAGGCCCTGGAGAGAATTGGCACTGTGGATTGGATGTTGTGCTGGCAGACCCACAGTGAGTGGAGTGCGTGATGGGGGGAGAGTCAGGGGAAGGGAGGGGGAGGGGGGTGGGTGAGTGGATTGGGGAGTGAGTGGAAGGGGCGAGGGGTTGGGGAGGGGAAGTGAGTGGAGAGGGGGAGTGAGTGGGGGGGGGGGGAGTGAGTGGGGGGCTTGGCTTGGTTATTATCGTCTACACGCTTCACTCCACACATTGCTTGGTGCTTAAGCTTCAGTGTACAAGTAACTCGCCCTGAACCCCTTGCCTCGGCCTCCCCTAGACACTCACTGCCAACTATTCCCACACCTCACCTCCCTTTCCATCACCACTCCCTGCACCTTCCTATCCGCCAGTGCACTTCAATATCCACAAGGAAATCCCCTTCTGCCGGCCAGAGAGATCTCAGCTTGGTCAGGGCAGTCAGCTGCTGCAGCCCATCATCCGTGACTGCCGTGCCAACCAGGTGAAGCCCCTCAAGCCCGGTCAGCTTCCCCACATGCACCATCCCAGCATCTGTCACTCCCTGGCAATCAGAAAGGTGCAGCAGTTTGAGAGAGGAAATAGCAGTTAAAGTGTTGCAGCCCATCATCCGTGACTGCTGTCCTATTCAGCACAAGTTCTTGCAGTCCAGTCAGCCTTTCCACGTGGACCATGCCTGCATTTGTCACTCCCTTAGATCCAGAAAGCCGTAGCCGTTTGAGAGAGGAAAGAGCTGTCAAGTGGCGTAGACCAGCGTCAGTCACCTTGGCCCGGTGGAGAAAGAGGCTGTCAAGACTGGTCAAGGAACCAATGCCTTCCAGGGCACTGTCTGAGACGACCGTGCCATCCAGGTCAAGCTCTGCCAGCTGTGGTAGTCTGTAGAGGTGCTTGATGCCCTCTGCACTGAAGGATAAGGCAGAGGGTAGGTTAACGCCTGTCAAGTCGGTCCTGGTGGACATAAGGTGGAGCACCGCATCCGATAGGCCATGGTCAAACCTCAGATCCGAATTGTTCTTCTTTGTTGCCGATTCGATTGCCTGGCTGATTTCCAGCTCAGCATTCAGCTTCAGATATTGTATCCTGTGCTTGTCCTTACAGGCTGTCAACTCCTGCACCTCCGTCCTCTCCTCTTCCCCAGCAAACTCCGATCTCATATCATGTGTTCTCTTTCTGCTCTTCCCTCCCAGCCCGCTTACATCCGATGCCCCACTACTCTCAGCCCATTTCTCCTTGTATTTTGCCAACTCCCCCTTCACCTCAGCCAACTCCGCCTTTGCTGCCAACTCTCTCGTCCTCTCCTTTATCGCTGCAGCAGCTGCCTCGTTCCTCTCCTCCGCAACGGCTAGCATGTGCCGCAGCTCATTCACCTCCTCCTTGCGTGCAGCCAGCTCCTCTATCACTGGTGCCAGCGCCGCCTTTGTGAGCCATGGACTCAGTGCACTCAACGCTCTCTCAGCAGCCATTTAGTCCACTCACTCCCCTCACACAGCCCAGTTTTAATGACTGAGCCCTGCGATCAACTGCCCTTTTCACTGCAGAAGGATGCGGAGCAGATTCGTGCTGCCTGAGTAGGGCAGGGTTCAATGTCTTGAGGAAAAAAGAGAGACGTAAAAAGAACAAGACCAACTACACGGGCGTGAGGGATGAGGCAGTGAAGTGAGAAAGAGAGCAGATCAGGAGCAGTAGAAGAGGGAGACTTGAATAGCACACAGAAGTCTGGTATACAGAGAGCTGTGTCAGAAACAGTAGATAGAAAGTAGAAACAGGAAAAGGGAGGTTTTGACTAGCAGCAGCAGGATACATATAGGAAACCCTAAATTGGGATATACTTGCTATAAAGTACCCCACTGCAGGCTAGACAAACAACATTTTGACACACCCCCATCGCCAAAGTGCGGTGTAATCAGCACAATAAGCAGGCAGAGCAATAGTTCACAATGATAAGCAAAGCTAGAGACTATCACAGAGGGCAAGTGAGGAGGAGGAGAAACTGTGAGGGCGAGAAGATGAGAGGCGACGGTTAGTTGTTGTCTTCGATGAGAGGCGAAGTTTAGTTGTTCCGCGGTGCCTCTGGTTGTTCTATCGCCGTACGATAGGCCCGAGCGCAGGCGGGGGAGCGCGGCATGTCGCAAGGTGGCCGTCCGGTATACGCATCGCGGGCGGTTGACGCCGGAGGTACGGGACAATGTGTACTCCGTGTGCACCGTGCGTGTTTGACATGTGCATCGTGTGTGCGTACCATACATATGATGGTGTTGTGCCGTTTTGTCTGATGTTGTGCACACAGGTGTTCACGGAGTTCGTGGAGACTGTAAATGGTGTGCACTTCAGCCATGATCGCAACACCCTCATCCTAACCATTCACGAGGCGCATCGCATCACAGGCGAGGTCGCGCGACCCGTCGCGGAGCACGGCTTCAGTGTACAGCACCTCACCAACACCCGAATCGTCAACATTCGTGGGTCGGTTCCTGAAGGGGGCCTTCCGCACCTGCAGGGAGTGGAGGATGCGCTGAAGGGCCATTACCGCGTTATGCTCATGAAGCGTGCGATAGCGGCGAAGCGGTTCCAGTTCGACTATTCGGCATCCATCGCTGACGTGGATTATGGCCTCATGCTCGAGTGGCTGGGAGAAGCGTGGACTCGCGTGCGCGCAGCAACCATGCAGAGGAGCTGGTGGCGCGCCGGATGCGTGCCCCTGAGCTGGCCGCCACTGATGACGTACCTGAGTGACACGAGCGCAACGGGCATGTTTGAGCCCCTCATTGCGATATGCGTCGAGCTGCAGTTGCTCATCGAGAAGTTCAAGATGAGGCCTGCGTGCTATATGACGGCGGCCGAGTTCGTCAACTACGACGCGGGACTCTGCGTGGAGCAGGGGTTCAGGGCCACACCTGCGGCCAGCGCGTCGGATGACTCGTCGGGCGAGATGAGCCTGCCAGACGGCCCACTGCTGCGTGACGAGCGCAGCAGGCGGCGCGTGATTCGCAACGTAACAAATGCGTACGTGGAGCGTGCCGACGCGCTCGGCATTCCCCCGGCCCTCGTGCCAGCAGAGGTCGGAGCATCTAACCAGGAGGTGATTTCCCGCCTCGGCAGGACGCCAGTCAAGCGTGCGCGCGCGGGGATGCGCACTGAGGACGTGCCAGACCCAGCGGTGCGCGAGACTGAGGACAACGAGTGATGCAGTTGCTTGCAGTGGGGCAAAGTATTGGGAGTTGTGTTAACCCTAAACCGTACGACTGGTTGACGGGTGTGGTGTTGTCTTGTTGATGTAATAGTGGTTGTTATGGGAGAACATTTGGAATGGAGTTTTCAACCCATGTTTGGCATTTGTGTGTAAGGGTCAACTTTGTTTGCGATAAGAGGTTATAAAGTGACAGAATGGACGAACCGCACTTACCATACCGCGGAAATTTGTGTGAGAAATTTGGGAGGGGGAGAGCGAATCGGGGTGTAGGTGTGCGCTTCGGGTTTCCGAAAGCTTTGCGGTAGTGTTACTGCGTAGTCAATATTTTCCATATGATGTACGCGCGCGTTTTTGGTGGGCGGAATGTTGCGATTTGAGTGCGTTGTTTTCCCGCAGCTTTCCGCAACATTCTCGCAAGGCCGACGCAGAAAAACCTTCGGAGGCCAAAAAACACAGTTTTCCTTTTTCGCGATGTACTACGTAAGCATCTGATTTCATCGAATAAAGATCACAACTACTACGCACTTCAGCTCGTTTGGAATGTTCGATGCACATTTCGGAGCTCAGATTCAAGTGTCTAAGAAGCCTAGACGTCATAGCCTCTCAGACATTCCAATCTACGAACCCTAGAAACAGGCCAAGGTAAGGCCGGCCGGTTCTGTCATTCCCTTATTTCTGCTCGCCCAGATTCTCCATCATATTCCTCCTTTCTCCGATGCTCTTGAGTCCGTTGACGCACCCTGTCCTCTGTTTCTCTCGTCCTCGTACGTATGCCCTCCCCACGGTCTCCATTCAACGCTCCAAGAGCTTAGCACGCTGAAAGAAAAAACACAGTCAAGAGTCATTCATTCCTGCATGGAGGCGTCACGCTTCCATGCTCTTATTAGGGCAAATCGAACAACATCGGGTATCTACTGACATGTAACGTGTGAGGCAAAGTGAAGATACTAAGCATGTCAGAATCCCAGCCACTAACCACTGGGATAAAAGGGCTTGTTTGTGTAGCGGGTGAGTGCGCCCATAACCCCCCAGGCCAACATGCCTGTAACCCTTCCCTAGGATCATCGGGGATCTCCAGTGGACCTCTGACACCCCCCCGCACTGGGATGCCCGAGGTGCACACACCGGGATTCGAACCCGAGACCTTCGCTCTGATAACATGTCAGAATCCCAGCCACTAACCACTGGGATAAAAGGGCTTGTTTGTGTAGCGGGTGAGTGCGCCCATAACCCCCCAGGCCAACATGCCTGTAACCCTTCCCTAGGATCATCGGGGATCTCCAGTGGACCTCTGACAAAGCATAGCAAAGAAATTAAGTGATGCCTTTGAGTTGCATGATCAGCAATTTTCCCTGAGCATGGTCAGGAAAAACTGTACGTCATTCACATACTCCTGGATTGTCAAGAATTTAAAGCAACGTGTGACTGGACTGGACACTCGCCTCGTTCTCAGTTCCCTTGTTGAAATCCTCCCTGAACTCCTAGGAATTCACACATCTGTTCCGCATCCACTTAAGAAACCCCCTGGCTGGCCACGTGACATCTGTGCAGCGCCGGTTACCGCACTGATGCGTGTTGCGCATCTTCATACCCTTTAGTTTCAGCACCCACCCACGTAGCAGTTTCCACAGTCATCCGCCTACTATATCTGCCCTCTGTCCTCATGCATTCGTTTCGACCATTCTCATTGCCATTTCTTTTTTTTTTTTTTTTTTTTTTTCGCTCTTTCAGATCGTTTAGCGCGTCTCTCCGCCCCGTTACTGAGCCACGTCTAAGTTTCTGAACCACATAGTCTTCTGCGACGTTTGTTTCTTCGCAACAGGCCTCAAAGGTGAGGCCTGTCCTGTCATACCATTCGATTCAGCTTGAAACCGCTTCTTTTGCAAACATCTTCTCCTTCTTTCGCCTGGGTCCGCTTGTGCTCCGTACCCTATGTCCCTCTTATGTGGCTACAACATTGCTTTCTTCAATTAAGTGGTCTTCTCTCAGTATCTATGCTTCCTCCTTGTTCTCACGGCTTGGGCAAAAAAAACAGGAAGCGCAGTAAACGGGCATCAAACTGAACATGTCTTAGAGTACCATGATGATCGGCTATCTCCCTGAGTATGGATGTGTCATGCTCAGGAAAATCTGATGAACAGCGATGTCCACGTACTCATTCATTATCACGCGGATGAAGTGTTGTATGCCTGGACGCTGCTTTTGGGTCCTGCCATCATCAGATTCCCCTATCCTTTTGCTCATCGTTGTTTGAAGCCCCTGTGTTACATTCACACAGCCTTTTTTGGTACTGTTATTTCCTGACAATTTTTCTTTCCTTGAGCTGTAGAAGCCCACGTTTCATCTATCAAGCTCCTCTCTCATGACACACCTCAAACCTCGGTTTCCGCTGTTTAGATGTAGACACAAGCAAATGGCAAGGTGTGTCAGAACTAGCAGTAGAAAGTTTAGAAGCAGAAAGAGGAGTTGCACTAGCAAGCAGTTAGGTACATATAGGAAACCCTAGATTGGGCTGTACTCGCTATAGAGTACCCCACTGCAGGCTAGACAAATACAACATTCTGACACACCCCCATAGTCAAAGTGGGGTATAATCAGCAGAGCAAGCAGTCATAGCAATAGTTCACAATTCATGAGCAAAGCTAGAGGCAGTCACAGAGGGCAAGTGAGGAGGAGGAGGCGAGACTGTAAGAGGAGAGGAGATAGGAGGCGACGGCTGAAGCTGCAGACACACGGGCAACAGGAGCGGCTGGCACAGTGGCTACCGGAACAGCGCCCCGGACTACAGGAGTAACTGGCTCCGCGGCTAACTCTGAGCGGCAGAAGCAACGGACCCACGGGCGACAGGCGCAGCAGGCTCTCTGGGCTACCAGGACAGCGCCCCGGACTACAGGTGCTGCGGACGACAAGACGGCAGACTCCGTTCAACCTCCCCAAACAGTCCCACCCCCCTTACACACACCCCCTGCTTTACCCCTAGCTCCACTCCCCCTTCACCCCCCTAGCACCACTCCTTCGGCTCCCCACACAACCACCCCCCTGAGCGGCAGCTGCAGCAGCGGGAGACGGAGGAGGAGGAGGAGGAGGAGGAGGAGGAGCAGGGGACGGCGCACACACCCGTCACCCCCATAACCGCCACCCCCACACTCCCCACCCCCAAACCCTAAAACGGGCGGAACGGGGGAAGGAGCGCGGGGGACGGCGAGGGGGAAGGCGCGCGACCCCCAGGGCGCCACCCTGGGGCAGCGAGGGGCCGCGCGCAGCCCCCTAGGGCGCCGCGACGGGGCTGCGGGAGGTCGCGCGCGGCTCCCCAGAGTGCCGCGACGTGGCCGCGGGGTCGCGCGCGGCTCCCCAGGGCGTCGCGACGGGGCTGCGCGCGGCTCCCCAGGGTGCCGCGACGTTGCCGCTGGGTCGCGCGCAGCTCCCCAGGGCGCCGCGACGGTGCAGCAGGCGTCGCGCGCGCCTCCCAGGGCGCCGCGACGAGGCAGAACATCAGATGACTCAGCGGAAGGAAATCAGCAGGAGGGAGAACATCAGATGACTCAGTAGCACCAGGAAGCAAGTGAAACACACAGCACAAGAACAAGAATGCTCACGTTCTTCACCAACATCCATCCCTTCTCTGTGTCCTCTCCTCTCCCAACACCCTGCATTCTCTCTGCAACCCCCCCGCTCAATCAATGGCACCCTACCTGCTCTGCCCCAAACTCGCACCCTCCGCCGCCGATCGCGCCCTTCTTCCCAAACAGCTGCGTGACGACATCGTCTCCCTCCTTGGCATCCAGGAACACGGGCGCCTCCCCATCAATCAGACTGAAGTCCGGGGCAAGCCGGTCCACAGCGTGAGGGAAGAAGTGCAGCAGCACGCGCACCACACTGTCAGCCAGACGCACTATGCCGTTGTGCGCACGGAAGTTCTGTGAGAGGAAGAACAGATCCGGCATTTCCGTGCACGACGATCGCTCTTGGGCTGCTCCAACTGCCTTTCCTCCTGTCTCCCCCTTGCTCTGCTCTGCTCTGTCCCTGTCTGACCCCTGAGCTGCACCCACAGTCAGTGTTGCTGCTGACGCTGCTGCTGCTCCACTCCCCACCTCTTCGAGCATCCTCCTCCCTTTGCCAGACAATTTCTGCTTGCCTCGCGCGGCTGCTGCCCCTGCCCACCTCCCTTGCTTCTCCCGTCCGTGCCCCTCCTCTGTCCCACTCCCCCCCTCCCCCGCACCACCAGCAGCACCACCACTGCCAACACCCCCACCTCCTCCGCCCTCCATCCCCTCACTCCCTGCATCCCCCACGACATCCACCTTCCTCCCCAGAAACAGCTCATAGAACAGCCTCCGAATGTCCTGAAACCGGAAATCCACCCCCCTCGCAATGGTCTGCGCCGTGTCCCCCGCAAAGACAAACCCATCAGAGGTATTGGCGCAGAGGAAGCGAAAAATGGCTATCTGCGCCTGGGTCAAATCCTGCACCTCGTCCACGTACACATACTGGAAGGGCGGGCCACAGCGAACCTTGTCCTCTCCACCACCACCGCCACCGCGAGAGGCAACACACCTGGCGGTGGCACGAAAAGCAGCACCCGTGGCAGCAGCGTTGGCAGCAGTGCCGGCAGTGGCAGTTGCAGCAGCAAGAGCAGCAGGCATGCAGATCCTAGTGGCTCCTCGTGCCAGCTCCCTATACACGTGGTACACATAATCACACAGGTCGTGGTCCCTCCTCCACCGCTTCATCCTCTCATACTGCAAGTACAGCCCATATATCACCTCCCTCTGCGCCTCATCAAAGCTTGACGTGCGGGTGTGTGCGAGGGCTACGTACGCTTCCTGAGACAGGCGCCCCCGGGGCGATCTGAGCGCGTGCAGGGAGCCTTTGATGTGCGAGAAGAACTCCTTGTAGACCAGCGAGGCGTCGAACTTGCGCGTCACGGATGTGTTGAAGTGAGGCCAGTAGAGGGACTCAAAACGGTCATAGTCCACCTCTTCAGGTAGAGACAGCACCCCAGTGGTGCTGTAGCCGGCGTTGCTGCTTCTGGCTCCCCCTGTGCCTTGTGCCCTGTCCCTGTGCCAGTGTGACTGATGATACGCTGGGCCCCACTCATCCTCCTCCTCCTCGTCCTCCTCTTCCTCCTCCTCATCTTCATCATCATCATCATGTGAAGAATACTCGCTCCCATCATCGTCACTGCTATTGCCACCCTTCTCCCCAGCACCCTGAGCCCTATACTCCCCACTCTTCAACCCACCACCCGTCGCCCCCTTCCCATGCCACCCACCAGCCTTCACCCCGTCCTGCTGGAACGGCCGAGCCAGCGTGGCATTGACCATGCTGAGAAGCTTCTTGAACGTCAGCACTAAGGGGTAGGCATCGGGCTGCACCTCGTCGAGAGACTTGGGCAAATCTCCCATGAGTTTCTCCTCTGCTTCCTCCGACAGTAAAAGCTCCTCCACCTCCCCTGCCTCTCCCTGCTGCTGCTGTTGCTGCTGCTGCTGCAGCATCTTGCCCCCCCTGGGCTGTGTTTGGAGGTGTGGTGTCGGCAGGGAGGATGGCATCTGCTTCCAGCATGGTTCTGGTCGAGACAAGACAAGACACACGGAAGGATGCACACATAGCTGAAAGTGAGAGAGTGTGTGCGAGTCAGTGAGAGTATGCGTGTGAGCGAGAGCATAAGAGGGTGGTCGTGTAACATAAAGGATAGATCGAGATTGTAACAGGAGGTTGCTTCAGTAATAGGTGGGAGGGTGGCAAAAGGAGAGAAAAGGAGTTATAAACAGTGGGGTGGATTGGGGGAAAGGGGGGAGGAAGGGAAGGAGCGACTATGGAGCGTGAAGATAGCTTCCCATCCCCATCTCCATTCACATCTCCACCCTATCACGCCATTCCCACCCAGTCAAGCCATCCCCAATCACACACACAACAGCACAACCCTTCTAGCCACTCACCGTCTAACTTTGTGCACGTGGTGGCGAATCGCAGCACACAGCCTCGGGCTCAAAGTTACAATCACCTGCCGCAGCGTTCCCATACTCCCCGCTTCCCCGCCCTCCCCCCCTTCCTCTCTACCCCCCTTCCCTTCACCCACCACCTTCCCTCGTCCTCCCTCTCCCCCCACACGCGCACCTCCCACGTCGCTTTCCCTCCCACTTCCCCCCACTCGCACTCCCAGTCTCCACAGCAGGACCCAGCCGATCACGCTCCCCCATGGCTCGAAGAAACACCCGCTCCAGGCGCAGCAAGCGGTGGGTAATGATGGTGGTTTTGCCGGTGCCGGAGCGGCCGAGCACGAAAAGGCTCCCCGGGTAGTGCACTATGAGCGCCTCCTGCTCGTTCACCTCGAAGGGCAGCTCGCCCTGCGCTGCTGTGAGCAGCTGCCGCGCGGACCCCAGCGACAGCTGGTAGAACTTCATCAGCAGCACGCTCTCGTCCACTGGCGCCCGCTCCAGGGCGCTCTCTGGTGAGGGGGGAGGAGGGAGGGAGGGAAGGGAGGGAAGGGAGGAAATGGAGGGAGGGAAAGAGGGAGGGAGGGAAAAGTAAGGGAGGGGAGGAGGAGACAAGGATAAGAGTAAGAGGACAGGACAGGGACAAACCGAATCTAAAGCTCAACTGAAGAATTGAAACTAGGGCAGAAGAGCAAAAGTTCTGCTGAAGATAGTTCTTTTGCTGACTGGGCTTTTCTAACCACTTAAACCAACCAATCATACCTTCATCTGCGGTGGAAACAGTAGCTACATCGCACGACGATGCCTTAGCCCGGTGCCATGTAAACCCCGGGTCTTTTGGGAACTGCAGCGGCTGCACCTTGCGAGCAAGGTGGTCGTCACAGTGCGCACAGCGGTCGAGCGACTCGTGAGAGTAGGTTCCAAGACCTCCCTCCAGGCGGCGCAGCCACTTGAGCACGTGCTGCTCCTCCACCACGTCCCACACCCGAATGATCTGCTCCGTGGTGGAACGGTGAGGAGGGCAGACGACGGGAAGGAAGAGAGCACAGGGGAAAGAGCAACTCATGCAATTGTTGTGACCATACCACTTGAGCACGTGCTGCTCCTCTACCGTGTCCCACAACCAAGTAATCTGCTCCTTTTTACAGTGCTTAGGGGAGGGCAGACGAAAGGGGGGAGGGAAGAGAGCAAGTGGGAAAGAGCAACTCATGCAACTGTTGTGACGCGGGGATATGGAGGACGAGAAAACGGCAGTAGAGGGGAGACGGTTCTGAGAGCGAGCTGAGGAGCAGGAAGAGAGAATGAGAGAGAGAGGAGCGACCTGCTTGAAGGTGGTGCGGGAGACGTCAACGGTCCAGATAAGCTGGTATCTTCCCACAGACTGCACGTGAATGATGTCATAGTAACGCGGGTCCTTGAGCGCGTGCCGTGGCCTGGTGCATCGCTGCGGCCTGTATCCGCCCATGAGGCGCCTCACTGCATTGATCACGTCTAGAGAGCGCAGCTCCCGCATGCTGCGCTGGAACTCCACGCTGAAGGTGGCCTGGTGGCGGGGAAGGGAAACAGACAACGGGGCTCGCAAGTTGGAACCACTTCTCTACCTGCTCTCCACTCAGCTCAACCCATCCATACCTCCAACATATTCCTCCCCCGGAATCACACAATTCCATGCCGGTGTCCACACCGTTCTACCCACATCCCACTCCCCTTTCCCTTCCCCCCGCCAGTCTCACCTCCCAGATGAGTGAGTCCCAGAGGCCTGAGTTGGGCTGCAGCAGCTGCTCCACCTCGACCAACTCCATCTGACGCCTCTCCACCACTCTGCGCAGCTTCACATCGCTCAGCGCCTCCACCAGGCACCCGCGCTGCTGCGCGTCCACGAGCAGGTGCTCCCACGTGGTGTCGCCGCGCTGCAGCGTGTCCCGATCGCCCACCACCCACATGCAGTAGCGCGCTCGTGTTACTGCCACGTTCAGCCTGACAGGCGGGGAGGGGGGAGGAGAAGGGGGGGGAACAAGGGGGAAAAGAAAGGATAAAGGGGGAAGGGGGAGGAGGGATGAAAGGAGGAGAGAAGGGGGGAAACGGGGGGAAGTGAAAGGTGGAAAGGGGGGGAGGTGGGTAGAGAGGGGAAACGGGGTGAGAGGAAGGTGTGGGACTGGAAGATGCAGGGAAGACAGGAATTAGCACATTTTTGGATAAAAAAGCAATGAGGTACCGTATGAGGTACGAAGTTGTGCTGCAGGTCACTCAAGGAACTGCCAATGGAATCCGAGGTAAACCCAGTGTGGATACAGACATACACATACTTCACAACAAGCAAGCACCAAAAGCACCACCACTCCCTCACTCCATAACAACCACCCACTTATCGCCCATCACGCCCACCACCCATCACCCACCCCCCGTCACCCACAACCCGTCACCCGTCCTCCCCTCTTCACCCCACCCCCAGTCACCCACCGCCTTGCATCGGACACAAAGCCAATGGTGCCAGCGCCATTGGAGCGCACAGTGGTGACAATGATCACGTCGCGCTCCCGCCCCTGAAACCCGTCCGCACTCTTCACCTCCACCACCAGGTGCGGCCACGACTGCGACTCCAGCGCTCGCTTCAAGTACTCCACTTGCAGGTTGTACGGCGAGATGAGACCCACTTTCAGTGGTGTGGGGCGCACCCCTGCTGCTGCTGCTGCAATGCCCTTGCAGGCTGTGGGCGTCAGGGTGGGAGGAGAGGTGCGAGTGGCAGGGGGAGTTACAGACGAGTTACGAGACGAGGTTGCATTGAAGTAGCGGAAGCAGGAGAAGCAGCTGTATCTGGCACAGCATAGAAGTAGAACCAGCAAAGTAGAGAAAGGCACAAAGTAGCAGTGGAAGGCAGAGCAGAAAAGTGCAGTGCAGAGCACATGAGTAGGGCGCACCGTCAGAAAGCCGTTTGAGCAGCGCTAGAACCACCGCAGCCTCCACCGAGTTCGCAATACTGCGCGAGCCGCCTTCCCCCGCCTTACCCACATCCCTCTCCTCCTTGCCCCTCACGTGCATGAACATGTACGGGCCAAACAGACGCTCCAGATGCTGCGGGCAGTGGGACGGGCGGCATACGTTGGCACCATCCTCGATACGCCCCTCGTAGAAGCGGTGAGAGGGGAAGCGGCTGATTTCAGGGTGCATGCGGTACTGCACGCTCAGCATGTGCACCTCCCACCCATTGACCTGCAGGCGCTCGAACAAGCTGCGGTTGTAGTGGCTCTCAACTGCCACCTGAGAGTGAGAGAATACATGAAAAGGAGAATGCATGAAAGGAGAGACACGGGAGGGAGAGTATGAGACGTGGAATCAGAAACAAGTGCAGGGAGTGTGTCAGAGGAGTGTGTGCGGCATGTGTTGAAACAAGAATGCAATAGAGTAGTTCACGAACTGACCACTTCCCATCGCTCACCTTGCTCAGAACAGTGGCTGGCAGCTGTTTGGGATCGCCCACAAGCACAGCATAGCGCAGCCCCTTCGTCTGGAGCGCCACCACACTCTCTGCCTCCACCAGCTGGGCTGCTTCGTCCAGCAGCAGCAGGGGAAAGGGCTGGATAAACGGAGGAGAGGGCGCGCAGAGGAGGAGACAGTGGAGAGGACGAGCTTGGCGTGTTCAATGCATGCTGCAGCCACGGTTGCGAAGGTGGGGGCTCCGGATAGGCTCGGGATGCTGTAGGCTGGGCTTTGGTTTGCGATGCGTCGCAGGCAGATGCGAATGGAGAGGAATAGTGCTCGGGCTTGGTTTGGTGTGATGGTGGTGGTTTTGATGGCCGCGGTTCTACTTCTGCCACTGCCCATGATCCTTGCAGTCCGTATCATCCCAATTCTGCTGCTGCTGCTGCTGCTGCTGCTGCTGCTGCTGCTGCTGCTGCTGCTGCCAGTGGTGTTGCTGCTCGTGCTAATGCTCGCTGCAAAATCCGCGTCCAAGCCACCCCCAGAACTGACACCAAGACCGAGCAGCACCGAAGCCTCCTCAACCACCGATCCCACCCCCCTTTCCCCTCCAACCACCTCCCCCGCACCTTCCAGCCATGTCCTTAGAACAGAAGGAGTCAGCCCAGCGCATCCTACCAGCTTGCACAGAGCTGCCATGAGATCAAACGCCTGGAGAAGCAGTAGTCGTTCATTCTCAGGAAGAAGAGCAGACGGCAGGTCCTCTGCAAGATTAACAGCTGCTTCCATAGCAGGCTGGGTCAGGAGATTAATGCGCTTCTGGAAGTGCGTTATGAGGGTGGGGAGCGGGTCGGCTTTCTTTGGATCTTTCTTGTTGCTGCCACCTCTACTGACCTCGCCCTGCTCATCATCCACATCGGCCTTAGAAGGATCTTCCCTGCGGCGCCTCTTCTCTTCCGCTCTCAACTCAGTTTGGAATTCTCCGTTCAGATCCTCCCATGAGGTATCCAGAAAGGAAAGCAGGTTCTGAAACGAAGCCTTCCAACCAGATAGAGAGGAAACGGCTCCTATTAGCCTCCCAACGCGACAACTCAGGGTCCGCCTCTGGCCGCCACTCTCCTTCCTCTCACTGCCCACCAGAATCATTTCCAGCTCTGGATCGATCTCCAGCCTCTCCTCATTTGCCACAAGGGCTATATCCCCAACCCTCAGCCTCCCATGACTCGCGAATGCCTTCCGGTCCGGCCACCCGTAGCACTGCTGCTGCTGGGCGCGGCAGTACCCTGCAAAGTGAGAGGAGGGATCGGGGGAGAGTGCGAGATGCAGCACTCGCCGACCCACTTCTGCTGCAGCGACGTTGGTAGGGGCGCAGACAAGCGTGCGTACTCCAAGGGCAAGCATGATGGAGAGGAGAATGGAGATGGTATGCGTTTTGCCTGTGCCGGGCGGTCCCTGAACCAGCTGCAGGAGTCGGCGAGATGCAGAATCGTCGAGAGGCGATGAGAAGGACGAGAATTGTGAAGAGGAGGGGATATTTGGGGAGAAGAACGGGGAGGAAGAGTCGGAGTAGGCAGTGGCGTTGGGTGAAGCAGCCACAGAGAGGAAGCCTCTCAGGCAGGCGAGAATTGCTGTTCGCTGTGGTTGGTTGAGGCCGCAGGCATGGCAAAAGTCCCCCACGGCTTGCATGAGCTCCGGAACCACATCAGGGGCTATGGAGATGGCTGGAGGTAGCATGCTCAGAAGTTGCTGCTCACGTCAAGTATGGGAGAGGAGGGTGGCATGCAGAGGAAAGAATGAGATTGGTTAAACAGGTATCACACACGGGTGATCGTTGGTTGTGCAGCTGGTGGCAGCACTAGCTTGAAAAATTCACGCACAAGGGGGTCCGTATCCTTCTACAACAGAACGAGAAGAACAAACACGACAAGAATCAAGCCCGGCTTACCTCTCTTTCTTCTTCTGTGCTTCGATTCGCTCTACCCCTCCTGCCGCTCCCACTCTCCGAACACAGCACCTCCTCCAAAACCATCCTCATCGTCCGATCTCTCTTCGATTCCCCGCTCTCGTTCCACTCCTCCTGTTCCAAGGACACATGCAGTGCATCCCAGATGCGCTGAGGCGTGGCAAATGTATCCACCGGGGTCACATACCAGGCAACCTTCTGAGTCCCACCCCCTCCTCACCACCTTCCTCTCCACCATCTCCCTTACCACTCTTCTTCCGCACCAAAGCCCCCTCCAGGCCTCTAGACTCGGGAGAATCTTTCGGAAGAAAGATCTTTGCCTTGCAGTACAAGCTGCTCCCATCGCCCCCACCACCGCCCTGTGCCACATCCTCTTCTGGAAGAGGCAGGCCTTTTGTCATGTTTCGGTCGGGAATCAGAACGCCCAGCAGATACAGCACGCCTGAGCGAAGCAGGTCGGTGTAGTCAGTGGGAGCAACGGTGGAGAAAAGAACCACATCTGTCGGCTTCAGCTTCACCTGTTCGAACACGCTGCCCCCGGCTCCTGCCCCCCACGCTGCCCTGTCTCCAGCCAGCTTCTGCCTGTCCACCTCAAATACCACCGCACCAAACCGCCCCGTATCCGAGTGCACCTTCACCGGCTTCCTCACCCTCCTCGCTCCCCCAAACAAAGAACCTCCATATATATCCTCCTCCCCATGCAATTCTCTGCCAAAGATATCCTTCTGGGCCATGTAATACCCACTCTCCTCCCCCTCCTCCTCGTCATCATAATCATCTACGCCTGCCACATACCCATCCAGCCTCTCCACTTTGTGAATGTCAATCGGAATCGGGGTTGAAGCAGAGAGCTGACTCAAGCCAGACTTGAGGCTGGCGCGGCACTCCTCCACCAGGGGCCAGCGGAAGGCAGACAGGTACGAGCGAACGTTAGGGAATGCGTCTGGTATAGGCCGAACCTGAACGTGAGACAGGTCACAAGGGTGGTTATGGTATCGGTTATTGATCATAGCAGTTATTGTAGTAAACGAACGAAGTTGCTTTAAACGAGAAGCCAAATATCAAGTGCTCAGATTGTACCATACGCTTGAGCTCATGCAGATAAAAGGAAAGGAAGCATACAAGATTGGGAAGGTCAAGACACTGCAAGCATAAAAAAACTCCCAAGCGCTTGGTAAAAATCCGATGTTGCTGCAGGGCAGGCTGCAGCCGTACCTTCCGGACCAGCAGGTAATCATTCATGATATCGTCCACGCTCCACTTGAGCACGTGCTGCTCCAGCTGCAGCACCCTGCCCAACTTCCTCGCCTCCTCCTCTGTCAGCACCTCCACCGACTTCCCCCGCGCATCCCCCGTGCCCGTGCACGTGAGCTTCTGAAACAGCTCCTTATCAGCAGGTACCCGGCGCACAGGCACAAGCAATCCAGTGGGTCTGTACAGCTTGAACACATAGAGGCGGCGGTTGTCCAGGGAGAAGAGCAGCCCGTCCTGCTCCACCACTCGGATTGGTGGAAAGTCCTCCACCTTGCTGGCGCCGCTGTAGAGATCTCGCACGGCGTCAAAGACTGTGTACTTGCTGCTTCTGGGTGCAGCTGCAGCCACACGTGCGTAGCTGCTGGGAGGAGATGTTCGGTAAGTTGTATAAGTGGCAGGCAGGGGGGATTGGGAAGGATTGAGGAAGTGAGAGCAGAAAGAAAAATTAGTCATAATCATAGTAGGTGAGTGAGGCGAGGCCTTGTTGAGAGAGAGAGAGAGAGAAATAAAAGCAAAAGCCTGCCATTATGTCAAAAAGCCCAACAAAGTCACAAGAGATTACGGAGCAAATGGGGCAAGATGCTAAGGACGCGGCACCTCTAGCAATTTTGCACGATCGATCGCAGGATTGCTGATTCCACCGCACTGAAATCATGCTGAAAGTATTTACAAGTTCCAAAACCATTTTGAACTCCTCAAAAATTCGATCCTGCGCAGGATCGATCGCAGGATCGGTGCTAGAGGTGCCGCGTCCTAAAACGATGCATACCTCTTCTGTTCGGGTGCTGCATCTGATACTGCCTTGGCTGGCGGACGTGAGAAGGCCTCGCATATAGTCGACTGGCTGAATCGGATCTGAGATGCTTCCAGCCATTCCACTTCAAGCTCCTTCGATTTCGTCTCGGCCGTGCTTCCACCATCATCTCCAGAACCATGGCGACCCTCAGGAGATTCCTCAGTGGAGCCGGATTGAGCTGACGCATGAACTGGCGGCGGCATTTCCTGTGGCCTGAAGGCAGAGAGACGGAATGAGAGAGGGTGGGGAGTACACGCATTGCAGCGTGCTTAAAAATTACCGTTTGACAGGAGAGCTGACTGGGCATTAGGCTTCGTGAAGATGGAAGCACAAGCAGCGCACATGGAATGAGTACGTTTTCTCTGAAATCTCCTAGAATCCACTACTGGTGGCTGAGGGTAGTACCTCGGTTGCAGTCTCTCTTGAACCACGTTCCAAAAGTCTGGGTCGAATTTCAGAGCCATGACACGCGCAAGAGCGACGGAGTACCACGACGGTGCTAGGTACAAGCTCAGCAGTAAGGATGAGCGAGGTCGGCGATGTCAGAGGGGGTGGAGGAGAAAACACCATCCCGTTCGTGAAGAAGAATCACCACCCTTTGCGACAACAAGCGAGAGTAGTAAGGCGAGACAAAGGAGAGACCAAGCCGAGAGTAAAAGGAAAATCGCGCCTGATTGCAATGACTGGACCACTCGAATTCGATGCATGAGAGGGCATTTCAAGGGCAAGTCTAGACTCGAACGAGAGGCGGAGCAGATGCCCATGAGGTGGATCAGCGCGTGCGCTGCTGAGTGGGACAGAAGTCACTGGACATGTCACGAATTCGATCATGATAAGCTCGCGTCTCCAAAACAAGGATATGTTCTCGACCGTCCGATGCTGCGACGGATTCCTCATCCGGACCACTTCGGATGTCTTGGTCAGCTAGTGGATGTGCGCTGGGACGAGATAATTTCGGAACCATCGGCGGGTCCCAGGGAGGATGAGAATCCCGTATGCATGAATGGGGAGGGAGGATTTTCGTGCATCGCTCCAGCTGGGTGCCATTCGAAGATATCCAGATACTGAGGGCGTGGCTCTTTATCGGATTCGTGAAATCACTTGAATAGCGGAACGGGTTTCCCTATTCGAGAACGCCGTCAAAGTGTCGGGACTTGGGCATTGACGTAAAGCGCGATGCGAGCCTCTAAGAGCCCTGGCTTCGTTTCGTCGGGTGCGAGTGCGCTCAGGTACTCGATACTGAGACCCCTCCGTGTCCTTGAACGGGCAGTTGCGTCGATTCGGGGGCGGCACGGACGGCATTCCCAGGGTTCCCAGTTTTCCAAGCCCAAGGCGTGAACAAGGCGTGGAATGGGCGTCATCTCTGTACTCTCTAAAAACGTGTCAGACGCTAGTTACGATAGCACATGAGAGGCTGCCTTCACAGGTACTTCATAACACGCTGCAATATGACTGTAAAGCCGTGGAGCTCCCACATCTTGCTCATAAGCATATTTCCGAATCATATAACATTAGCTGAAAACAAAGTACCGTAATCACCCGGATATAAGACCCTAGGGTCTTATGAAAACTACGGGAAAAAATGGTGGGGGGTCTTCTCATATTGTCATAGTAATATAAGACCCGGGTCTTTACAAATGAACATGTTTTTTTCCACTTGTATTTGAATGCAAAGCTCATGTTGGTGTTTGATTCGTTTTTAGATTACGGAAAAGCGGTACGTCGAGGATGTTTTTGTGACGACTGTTTGTGAATGTGAAATCCAGATATTGCTCTCTGATTGGACAACCACATAGCCAATCAAGGCAAACGGATCTCAAAGCAAGACCATGAGAATCGCACAGTCAGACATTTGCCAGGTGGCATCACCCTCGCAACTGGTCAAACTTTGATTCATGAGCCTCGTAATGGCGGAAAAAACAAAAGAATGCACAACATTGACGGTGCGATGCCCACGTGACTTCATCTGAAGGGGAAACATTATGTTCTCCTTCACAAAACGACTCTATAATATTATAAAATCACACGTTCGCTGTAAAGGTGGGGGGTCTTATAATTTTTTCAGCCAAAAAGGGGGGTATAACAAAAACATACCCAAATACAAGACCCACGTCCGTATTATATACCCGGGGGTCTACAACTGGGGGGGGTCTTATATCCGGGTGATTACGGTAACAATGGCAACAAAATGGTACAGTATTCTCAAGCTACACTGTGAAAAATTCCTCTGCACTGCACCACGTCTGGTAAAAACATCAAACCTCACTGCATCCCTTGCATTGGCCATAGCACCTTTCACTGGCCAAGCTATCTTTTACGGTAACACTCCAAGTCCCATTCCAACAAATAATATGACCCATTTTCCCTGTCAACCCATGTGGGCCGCACATGGCATGCGGCAATACTCGTGCTCCGGTCATAAAACACTGTTTCTCAGCGACTTCTGTCCCACTTGTGAAAACAGAATGCCCGTAGGCATCAAGCCAGCCGCTGCCATGCGTACAGTACACTACTTCACAGAGCATGAGCATGACTCATGTGCATCCTCCCTTCATCCACCTGTTATCTTGCCCAAACAGGCGTGCACTGCACCTGCTTCTGTCCACCCCCACCTGGAGACAGCCGTGCACCTGCAAGGCATATTGTCCAGACCCTTCTCCAACTCTGCAGCACGCAGCCGTGAACAACCACCATTCCATGCCTCACTCCTCCGCATGCATGCCTCCCTCGTTCTTCACACCCCTTGCCTCCACGCCTCTCATTCTTTGCTACATAGTCACACTCAACTCCTCAGCCTTAACCCCGGGAGGGAGGGGTATGGAGGAGGGGGGAAGAGATATGGAGGAGTGTTTGGGCTGGGGGTAAAAAGGTAATATCATGGAGGGCAAGAAAAAGAGTGGGAGGGGGGTGGGAGGGACGGGGAGGGGGGGGGTTTGAGGGAAAAAGAGGTGGGGACGGGTAGAGTATAAAAATCTGTGCGAGACCATTCTGGGCACGGATAGGGAAAGGTACAAAGGTGGGAGGAAGGGAGGCGAATCGTGGGTAGAACGTAAAAGGAAGGGGCGTACTTCAGGCGAGGATTGGGAGGGAGGGGGGGGGGGGGGGGAGGGGGGGAGGGGGGGGGGGGGGGGGGGGGGGGGGGGGCAACAGCTGATGGTACTGCATACTAGAAAGTAGCGTTCAGATTCAACCTCCTTTCGCAACACTCTGGCTTCAGAATCCTAATCTGGGTGCGAATAGGAGATGGCGCACAAGGAGTGACAGAGAACTACGATCACACTTCATTCGCCATTGTGAAGAAGGTGTCTTCATCCCACTCGACTTTGCTCACCTCCATGGTGGCACCACTGTCGCGCTTCTGTCGTCCATTGACCAACCATCAGCAGAGCCCGTAAGGCGGCCACATGAAATCCACCTGCTTCCACGAAGCAGCGGCGCGTCTGCCCGTTGTGGCGGCAACATCCATATCGCAGTTGCAGTGGGAATTGCAGTTCCACATGGAAAGGGGACTGTTGGTGTGGGAAGGGAAAACGATCTGGGGGAGACGGTGAAAGGGGTTGTAGCAATATGCAGAGCGAGGATGGCAGCGGTGGAAGACAGCTAATGACGGTGAAGGGGAAAGAAGGGCACAAATCCATTGCGCCTATGCGTGACGAGGGCAAAAATGAAGGAATAGAGAACAATCCAAATTCCTCTGCCATTAAGATGAAGGTGCTTTCTATCCAACTCAGCTTCTCTCACCTCCACGTTAATCCATCCTCGCCCTACTCTGTCAGATGAGAAGCTGCGCGCATACCCGCAGTAGTGCAAGTGACATGACGCAGCAGTGCCTTCCTTCCGTCCAACTCATTTTCTCTCACCTCCACGTTGTCACCATCGTGGCTCTGCTGCCGTCAGCTAAGAGCCTCGCGCACCTTCCACCCAGTACTGGCAGTGGCACAATGCAGCAGTGCCTTCAAACACGGTGAGTGCGGGGGTGAGAGGCATCACTGAGATTGTGCCGAGCGAGGGCTCACCTGCTACCGCAGTCAGCTGTGACGGCAGCACAATGCGCGTTCCACTTAGTACTACTACCGGCAGTGGCACGATGTAGCAGCAGCGGCACGACGTAGCAGCAGGGGCACGACGTAGCAGCAGGGGCACGACGTAGCAGCAGGGGCACGACGTAGCAGCAGTGGCACGACGTAGCAGCAGTGGCACGACGTAGCAGCAGTGGCACGACGTAGCAGCAGTGCCTCCACCCACGGCGAACACGGCAATGAGAGCCACCACTGCGTTCGTGCGCCACTGATATGACATCTATCCATCTTGGTTCTGAACATGTCTCAAGCATCACCGCATGGAGAGGCAACTGGTGGACAGAACTGAGGGGAGATTAGGGGAAGGCAGGGAAAGGGAAGGTGGGGTTGTGAACTCAAATATGGTCGATTGGAATGTGGCGCCTCTGTGCTGTCAGCAACAGTTAACCACCAAGGGGGGGGGGGATGGGGAAAAGAGGGAGGTGGGAAAAAAAGGGGCTGGGAGGGGAAAGGGGGAGAGTGATGGAGGCGACAAATACATGAGAAGCACAGGAAATCGAGTGATCTGGGAAGAAATTGATGGAGAAAAGATAGTCCTGGTGTAGTCGATGTGGGAGGGAGTGAGGGAATTTGTATGAATGAGC